TTCACGGTCAACTTGGGGCCACTCAGTCTTTGAAAGAGTGGACTGCTAACATCAACACTGCTCTCCTGATTGGCAGCTCCTTCCTTCCTGGCTTTGAGTCTCTCCTGCTGCCACTGGACGGGGTCCATGATAACTGGCCTGCTCAGAGAACCAGGCGTGTGCCTCCTGGTGAGGTGAGTGGGCACCGTCCACGCCCGGTGACTGCCCCCCAAGGAGGCCTCTCTCAGGGCCAGTCTTGAAGGAGAAAGAGTATCAAGAGTATCGTTCCTTTTCCGTAGAAACCCGGCAGCAGTGGGACTCTGAGGGAGACCTTCCACATACAGCGGGTTCTGAGTGGTTAATGGGTTCTCATCAGATAAAAAAGTAATGTTACTTGAGGATTTGGGGAGGTTATTGTTCAGTGATCCATTGATATTGGATTGCTTGTGAGCCTCAATAGCACGGGAAGCAAAGCTGCTTATAACTCTCTGACGGTCTCCTTCTTCTAAGACTGACTTTGACTTTTTTCCCCTGCTTTGTTGGAAATGGTAGAGAAGAAAAAGACTTGAAAGAAAAGAAGATAATCACATGTGAGGAAACATGCATGGACACAGATACTCATGAGAGAGAGAAAAAAAAGAACTCATGATATGAATCAGAGCCATTCAATTACTTCTAGCAAACTACTACTACCCAACAGAAAGAGCACATTCACTGGGCTACTGGGCAAGACATTTACTTTTGCATCTTCTTTAAGGGGGAAGGAAGAGAAATTAAAACAAGTTTACTACTTGTTTTAATTTAAAGTTGCTCAGCTACTCGATAAGTTCAAAAATAAGTCAACCTCTTGTTAAAAAAAAAAACCTCTTAGGTTTCAAAATGATCAGTCAATACTGGACCCCATCTCCCCAGAGACACAAAACATCACAGAAGTATCAACACGTGTACGAATTTCATCTCTTCACCACGATAAACCCAATGAAAAGCCCCTGCAGGTGGGTTACATCGAATTTCTACACCAAGAGTAGGAGGTCTCACCACTTTTTGGACTTCATCTCTCACCTCCCAGTGCCTCATTAACTACTTTTCTCAAATATTTTCAATACCGCAAACTTCTGAGCAGATTTTAAAATAAACAGCATTATAAAATCAATATCTCCACACTGTCTGCTAGAAAAGTACCCTGGGAGCCCTATTTTAAAAACACTGTTCACCTCAGGCTGAAATGAAATTTATTTTCCCCTCAACCTGAGAGAAATTTAAGATTTGGGTCTGTGTCACACAGAGCTAAAACCAACCCCCTTATTCAACCAGGCTTCCAGAGGACACCTACTCCAAAAAGATGATGTGAACGTTGGAAGATGAACTTTTAGGCCTCCTGGTCACACTGTTCCATTGTTTTTGGTGGTGGTGTGTCGTGTCTCAGAAAATATAACTAAATAATTAATGGAAAATTAACTCTGGTGCTTAAATATTCCCTAGCAAAACTGGAAGAGAAATTTAAGTGACTAGACACTGGATAGGGGTTAATTAAGAGAGATTAAGTTTCCTCTAAGTTATTTAATATGTAAAAGTCCCCTGAAAGCCTGTATTTAGTAATGAAAAACATTTGGTTCTTAAATTTTGTTTCCTGTTTTCAGTGGGGGATCACCCAGGCAGAGAACTAGCAGCTCACTAATGGTCCCAGGGACCAAAGAAGGACCAGAATCCCTGCACAAAACACAGGGATCACGGTCCCATTTCCAAATAACACCCAGCAAAGCTTCAGGAAGGGTTATATCAGTGCATAAATTCTCCCCAGGCACTGCAGTTTGCCAAAATTCCGTGTGCCTAAGGCTTGTCTCTGGGCAGAACAGAACTGTATGAAACATAATTAACTTCACACTGATCACTGAATCCCAGAATGGTTTGGGCTGGAAGGAACCTCAAAGCTCATCTTGTTCCACCCCCTGCCATGGGCAGGGACACCTCCCACTAGCCCAGGTTGCTCCAAGCCCCCTCCAACCTGGCCTTGGACACTTCCAGGGATCCAGGGGCAGCCACAGTTTCTCTGGGTAACCTGTGCCAGGGCCTCCCCACCCTCACAGGGAACAATTTTTTCCCAATATCTAATCCAAATCTAGTCTCTGGCAGTGGGAAGCCATTCCCCCTTGTCCTGGCACTCCAGGCCCTTGGAAATATTCTCTCTCCATGTTTCTTGCAGGCTCCCTTCAGGCCCTGGAAGGCCACAGTTTGGTCACCCCAAAGCTTCTCCTCTCCAGGCTGAACAATCCCAACTCTGCCAGCCTTTCCTCCCAGCAGAGCTGCTCCAGCCCTCGGATCCTCTTGGGGCCTCCTCTGGACTGGCTCCAGCAGCTCCATGTCCTTGCTGGGCTGTTCCCCAGAGCCCCTAAACCAACCCTTTATCCTAAAGCAGCCAGCTCAGAGGGGATTCAAGCCCTGTCCATCTATTCAGAGGCGAGAGAAAGCCGTGATTGTGAACTTGAAGGACCCCTCCAGCAGGTTCATGCAGGTGACACAACCTTTTTGCTACTGGAATGGATTATTTCCGAAGCTCCTCAGCTCCCTCCTGGCTCCACACGACACCTCTCTGGGCTGGGCTGACCCTGCATCTCTTTGTGCTCCTGGATTATTTTTATGCAACTCAGGTTGAAGCACATCCCTGTAAACTGAAAGACACGTCCCAGCCTTGCATGGAATTGTAAATAACAGACAAAAATAGGCTTTGCCTGCATCCAGCCATCAGTTCAAACCTCTGGGCCTTCACTCAGTGTCGGTATGGTTTGGTTTTGTTTTGTTTTTTCTTTTTTAAGGTAGCTTTTCTTTGGCTTTAGAAATAATACCATTCAAGTTCAGCAATCACACTTGCTCTCTCTGCTTCCAAGAAGAGGGATAAAGAAGCATGGAAATATTGAAGCTTCACAGTAAATGTCTTTCCTGATCAATGGATAAATAAAATATGAGTTTCAGCTTGCAAGGTTGAATGGGAATCACTGAAAGGAAAATTAACTAGTGTTTCTACCAGCTACAAATATTAAGACAATGAAATAAGCTTACTTACTGATGCCTATGTATCCAAAGACAGAGAAAAATGAAAATTATGAGACAAGGCAGATTTAAAACTAAAGAGCTTAGTTCCATTTCATTTGCTATAAACACCAAAGAAAGAAAACAAGACACGAGGCAGCACTGCAAATGAAAGATGACTGTCTTGGGACAATTAAGGACAGGGAATATTGGACTAAAGTTCATGCAAAATGTTAATCAAAGGTATTTCCCAAATAATAATTTCCTAAGTTATATGCATAGCCTGAAATCAAGTAACTGACAGGGAAAAAGAAAATTGTAATTATATTTATTGAAGCGTGTTCTTTTCTTTAAAATCCTGTGGATTTTCAGTTCTCTTTTAAGGATTTTTACTGGTTTGTGTTTAATCAGTTCCTCAGCATGGTGGATATAGCTTAGCTGTATGCAAAGACATCTGAGAGAAAATATTCCAACTGCAGCACCTTTTTTTGGTGCGATAAAATCAATTTTTTTGTCAAAATTAACATAAATCTCAGCCTCAGAGTCAATACTGCATATTTGTGAACTGGTCTCTACATGTTGCAGTACTAAAACATTAAAAAAACCCTTTGCAGATAAAACCCCAGCAAAACAAGGCTTTTTCTGGGTTTAGCATCGGGTATTTGGCAATACATCTTTAATTTCAAGAGAAATTTAGTTTAATGCAAAAAAAAAAATTTAAAAAAAAAAAAAGCGAATTTTACTCAGCAGGCACCTCAGTGCAGAAGTACAGATGTGATCTCCTGTGGTTCACAAACACAGTCCAAACCCACTATATTCCACAGCTGAACATCCATTTTTCCTCCCTTCCTGCCCAAGTGTAGCACTTGTCAGAGGCAAACGGCACGGGAGGGAATTCAGCATTGAGGAGAAGCTATTCCTGCTCCCAGGAATTTTTCTTCCTCTATTCACCCAGAAAAGCTCAAGCTCTGGAATGATTCCCCAGGCACAGACTGTCTGGCCAAGAGTTACAGCTCTGTCACGCCCCTGGAGCGTTTGCTAAACTCAATCTCAGCAGCTGGAGAATTCCAGCTTTCTGAGCAAAACAAATAATGATGGAAAACGGAGCAATCCTCAATTCCACCTCTCTACCTGCCTCCAAACTTTATTAACGCTGTGCTCTTCAGCATTCCTTGGATTTTTCATACAAAGAGAGTGTGGCAAAGCTCATGAACAAACCCCTCCCGGTATGGGACAAATAATAATTGGCTACTCCCCCCTGGAATATGTTCATGCTGGGAGTTAAATTGTTGTTGGAGTCCATCAACTTCAGGTTTCCAGAAGCATGAAAAGGTAAGCAACCTTGCAATATTATTATTTTATGAGCATGTAATAGATAAAAGATGCATTCATAGACCTGCCAGTGGTTTCTCTTCTCTGAGAGTTCCTTTTAGTTCAATATTTAAACAGTTTTAAATTTAGAGCAGGAAAGGAAAAAACAAAAAACAACACACTTTACCCAACAGAGTATTTCTTACTGTAGGAAATGGGGACTTCGGGGCAGAAATTTTCAGTGTTCTGTCATTTCAGATGTGTCCAGTTAATTAATGAATTTATAAGTAACGAATTTTATTGGATGTGTTTAGTCAACAGCTTTGAAAAACGTCTAGGGCTGGATTTGCCAAGGAATCCAAAGCTGGCTCACCCTGGCAGCAGTGACCTGCTCCAGGCTCTTGCTCGTAGGAAACCACGTGGTTAAACCTGCTTTTTGCACACTTAAAACTGTTAAAGAACCTCCCAGCCCCTACAAGAAGATTAAATTGCTTTTTCTCTCCTCACCAGGTCATCCTGTGTCTTTTGTGGATCTTGGAGAACCCCAAGCAGGAATGAGAATCCCAGGATGGTTTGGGTTGGGAGGGACCTTAAAGCTCACCCAGTTCCACCCCCTGCCATGGGCAGGGACACCTTCCACTAGCCCAGGTTGGATTTATTGATGGATCTCAAGGAATACTCACATGGTGCTGTCTCCAAGCTCCTCGTACAGGTTGTTGGCAGCGGCACTGGCTGGTTTCCCTGCTGGCAAAGCCATCTGGATCCTGGCAGTCTTGGCACACTCAGCCTGCCTCCTTCGGGAGCCATGGAGAGAAGGAGAAAGACTCATCAGAAACGCTCCCCGCCCCATCATAAAGCCCAAATGGAAAGTTTTCCATGGTTTTTTCTGCAGTTTATAAACATCCCTGAGTGTTGCCTTCACCAAAGTGATTATATTTTCCTGGTTTGTTCAGCTCTGTTGTTCTGTTTTGGTGGAATCCCAGAGCTCCTCCAGACAGGAATAAAAGCACAGAATCCCAGCATGGTTTGGGTGGGAAGGGACCCTAAAGATCATCTCATTCCACCCCCTGCCATGGGCAGGGACACCTCCCACCAGCCCAGCTTGCTCCAAGCCCCGTCCAACCTGGCCTTGGACACTTCCAGGGATCCAGGGGCAGCCACAGCTTCTCTGGGCAACCTGTGCCAGGGCCTCCCCACCCTCCCAGGGAACAATTCCTTCCCAATATCCCATCTAAATCTCCTCTTTGTTGGCTTGAAGCCACTCCCCTTGTCCACCTTCAACTCCTTTTTCTCAGCGGAGTTGGCTGGGAAATTTCTGTTTCAATTAAGAGTTTTCCTGAAAAAAAAGCCTTTTTTTTTTTTTTCTTTATAAGGAGTCAAGTTCCTATGAAAAAGATTCCTGTTTTCCATGTAGAAAACCAAGCTGTGGTGTCTCATGGGTGGTTTTGGGGAGCACCATCAAGGTGACACGACTCCACCTAAGTTTGGTTTTTGAGGTGGGTCAACACCCGACTCTTCCTTGCCTGACACGCCCTGACTTGCTTGGGGAATTCCACACACATGGGAATATTTACCTTTTTCTCTGCAGGAAACAGCAATAACCCCAACCCCCATATCCTTAATGCAATAATAAATCACATTGAGCAGCCACAAAAAAATAAATCACTTTTAAACTCCTCATACCGAGTGTTCAGGAGCAAGTTGGAGCATAGGAATCAACTCTCACTGAAGGCTAAAAATATACATTTAATGTATTTAAACACTAAAGTCTGGCAGGCTGTCAGTATTCCTATGCAAGCTGGTAGAAATGAAGCTGGAAATAAGTACTTACTCTTTGAATCTGTTTTGTTATGCAAAAAAAAAAAAAGAGATAAAAAGGCAGGTTAAATGAATTCTGTTTCCAACAACTGTCTCAAACAGTGAATTTAACAGGAGTAATAAACTAGAGGCTACTTAATTTATCCATACATCAAATTACAGGATTAATGACATGTTTAAAGGATCCTAATTTCCACAGCTGAAGAGTGTTTTGCTGCTATTTTTGCTACCCTTGAAACAATTCTGCAGTCAGCAGAAACAGGAATTCCAGAAGGGAAAAGCTGCTTTGGGCTTATGGAAAACAACTCCCTGCCACACTCACACAGGGAACAGAGTAAGACATGGAAAAAAAATAGTATTTCTCATGTTATTTCTTTAACAGGTGCATTTTTATACCAGTTTATAATATAATATAATATAATATAATATAATATAATATAATATAATATAATATAATATAATATAATATAATATAATATAATATAATAAATATAATTAATATAATATAATATAATATATAACCGTAAATTAAAAATATAGACAACACTTATTATTATTATTATTATTATTATTATTATTATTATTATTATTATTATTATTAATTATTTAGAAGATACCATTCATTTGTGATCAGTGTTAGTAAATAATATATTATTTAGAAGTACCCTGCAGGGTTGTAGTGGATTCTGTATTTCAAAGGCATAATTTTCAGCTTTATTACAAGAAAAATATTTCAGGAAAAATCCTGAAACTCCTTTTGAAAAGGAGAAAGAAAGGCTGTAATGGAAAAACAAACCAGAAGGCTCAGGACAGTTTTGGTGCCTCTATTAACACTAAAATTCCTTTTATTTTCTTTGGCACTCTTCAGTGATGCATTTCTCATAAAAATACAGTTTTATTCACACTGGGCTGCTATAAATTTGGCTCCAAGTCTCACTTCCAGACAGCAAAAATGGGATTTTGTTTGATGAAATGAAGTTGGGCAGATTCCTTAAAGCTCTTAAAAGAGATGGATGATGTTTTGATAATCTAACAGATGCCAGGGAAAAATAGTGCTCTTCGATTTCTTCAAGAAACAGGCAGTTCAGAGAACAGCAACCAACTAATTGGAGGTTGAACTTGAATTTTCTACAGAATTTTGGGATAAGCAGGGAAGCTTGGGAATGCACCGCCATCCCAAACTCTTCCAAACTCCTTTAAAAGGTCTTTTCCCATTGACTCAAATGTTTTGGAGAAACTGGGATGTGAATATAATAATTAATTAGTAAATCCATTAAGTATCTCTGAGTATCATCTTTAATTAAAGAAAAATCTATAAATAAATATATATATAAATGTAGGAATCAATCTACCTTGTAGACCAAATGCATTGATTCAAAATATGAGAGGGCCAGAAAAAGTTTAGTTGGGAGGTTCTTGTTGGTGATGTTGATCCTTTAATTAGTTTATCAGCCAATTAATTAAACCTCTTCAGGTTTAATTAAGGGGTGAGTGAATATAAGAGGTGAGTTAAAGTTAATATAAAGTTAATATAAGAGGTGAGTGAAAATACCAAGAAGGTTCTCCCCGCTGCTTTAGACAGAATTGGCACAAAAAGCATCCTCCAGGAAACATTTACAATTAATATATAATTGTGATTATTTTAGGGGGAAAACATATTTTAAAAAATAATTTATAAATATTATTTAAAAATAGTATAAATAAATGTCATAAATGTAATTTATAAATATTATAAATACATTATATTATAAATATTATAAATACATTAACATGATAAATATTTTATGATTTTATTAAAAATTATAAATATATAAGCGAAAAAATGGACTCTTTTTATTTTATTGAGCTGCGCAGTTTAATTTTTGGGTCATTGATTGAGATGGCACCTTTCTCCTCAATTTTTTTTTTTTCCTTTGGCATGGAATTCAGCCCTGAAACTACCCCTGTGTTTCAAAAACACCTGGCTTTTGAGGCCGTGTTCTAAAAGCTCCCTGCCCCGGAAAAGTCCGGCAAGACGCGCTTCCCACGTGCATCTCACTGAGCACTGGCCAACTCTTGTGGGGAGAGGGGAGATAAAAATAGGAATTAATCTAGAAGAGATAACGTATAAAAATATAAAATATAAAAATATAAGGTATGTAAGTATATATAAATATATACATAACATATAAATATGAAATGATGCGTTGCTCTCGCCGCAAGGACGGATGGCGTCGGAGCGATTCTCCGCTACACGACCTCCCTGCTGGGAGGCTGCTGGCAGTGGGAGGGGAGGAGGAGGTTACTCACTGCCTGTAGCTGACCATGACGATGAGGATGGCTGGCAGGCAGCACAGGATGATGATCACAGCCAGGGCCAGCAGCGCTCCCTCCGTGTAGCCCACGGCCTGCGCCTGCTTCTTCACGTTGGCCACCACGTCCGGCGTGCGGATCTCCAGGATTCGCCCGCCCTGCCCCAGGTAGGGCTGGAACTCCTTGTTGATATCCAGCAGTTTGCCATCCAGGAACCTTGGGCGGCACAAAAGAATTATGGTCAAGTTTATGAAGTGTGGTTGGGTGGCTGTGGTTGGGTTAGTAACCGTGGTCTGATAAAGCCTGGTCTTTAGGTATTGGCAATTCCTTGTAATCCCTGGAATGACTCCAAGGTACTTAATACCAGGACACAGTTTAAGCACTGAAAAGGAGGGGCGAGCTGAAGCTTATCCTGATTTCTAGAGGCTCAAAGTGGCATTGATTGTGCTCTTTCCTTCACTGGTCTGTTACAGAGGATCAACCAGCCCTTCCTGAACACATCCCACTCCGGCCTAAAGATCCACGTGATCTTGCCCAGGCAGTGGTGGATTCCCCATCCTTGGTTCAAAAACCACATGGATGTGGCACCTGGGGACACGGGTTAGTGGTGGCCTTGGCAGTGCTGGGGGAACGGTTGGACTTGATGATCTTGTAGGTCTCTTCCAGCCTTAATGATTCTATTTTATGGGATTCCTTCACGACTGTGATTGATGCTACTCTAAAAGCAGGAGGACTTCCCTCAGCTTCTTAGGGAAATCCTTTGGCTGGAGGGACAAAAAAATACATTGGCCAAGGCTTTAACTTCTAAAGGAAAAGAAAAATCCTTGTATCACTCTGGAAGCGAGGACTGAGTGTCTCACAAGCTGCCCAGCTAAAAAGACCAAAGTAGGAGGCACTATTAGGATGGAGGAGCCATAGTAGGACCCCCACCTGGACAGAGGTTCTCCCGGGGAAACATGATGTGTCAGAAAAAACCCAGAAAAGATCAAATGAAAAACAACAGCTAAAAAAAATATTCTGAAAGGATTTCTGCACATAAACTCCAAATGTCTAAAGACAGTCTGAAATAGCTTGATTTCCTTAATCTGATCATCAAATAGAAATAACACTCCTCAAAAACCATTTCTTAATGGCAGTTAATTTCTTAAAATCGACTTCCCCTCTAATTAATTTACTCAGGAACCCTCACAGCATTGTTTGCCCCTTGATTTCTTCCACAAAAAACGCTCGTGGTGCTTGAGAGAAAAAAATCCCTTTTCAAACCTAATGCCGGTTCACGAGGCGTAAAGTGAGTCCAATCGGAGCCTCATTCTTCTGCTGCACACTAGATGTCACTGGTGCATGTCACACGTCCTTTGAGCTGGCAAAAGCATCCCAGCAGGACAGCATTAAATCTCTGGATGATTTTAACCATCTCTCCATTAAAATTCCCTCAGCATTTTCTTGACAAACCCTGTTTTAACAGGTTGTAACTCAAGCGTGAGCGTTTACTCCATGATGGAACCTGACACGCTGTGCAGGAGATTCAGGCAGGGTAAGCAGTTTATTTTTAATGGTGGACATTTTCCACTTAATATATGCAGGAGAAATTTGCTGGATTCAACTGGTTTTTATGCTCCAATAAATCAAACCCTCTTTCCTATAAAAAAGATAGAAAAGGAGGCTGATCATTTCAGTTTGTAAAATTATCTCTAAGTAGCCTGAGTCTTTCAAGGGTTTGTGGTAGAGAGAGGAAATAGCAAAGCACAGTTACCATTCAGGCCCATTTTTTGGGTGTAATCAGACAGATTTGGAGCAAAAGTCTGACCAGGAGCAGCTGGGTGGGGCTCAGCCTGGAGAAAAGGAGGCTCAGGGGGGACCTTCTGGCTCTGCAAGTCCCTGACAGGAGGGGGGAGCCGGGGGGGTCGGGCTCTGCTGCCAGGGAACAAGGGACAGGAGGAGAGGGAATGGCCTCCAGCTGTGCCAGGGGAGGTTTGGATTGGATAGTAGGGAAAATTTCTTCACTGAAAGGTTGGTCAAGCACTGGAACAGGGTGTCCAGGGCAGTGGTGGAGTCCCCATCCCTGGAAGTGTTCAAAGAACGTGTGGATGTGGCACTTGGGGACATGGGTGAGCGGTGAACACAGCAGTGCTGCATTCAGGGTTGGACTCGATCTTGGAGGGCTTTTCCAACCTTAATGATTCTGTTTTATGAGATTCCTGATTAACAAAAATGGCAGGTCATCAGTCACAACAGTTGTAAGGAAAACCAGGAATCTCTCGTTGTGGATCAGTCTGACAGAGCACAGGACAGGGAAACTTCGTCAGGTCTGGAGAGACATGGGTTTTCCCCCTCTGGCAGTGATGGCCACATCCATGATTTCTAAATCATGGCTTTGTTTTCCAGACAAACTTTTCGCTGGAATTGTGATGGGATTAATATTAGGGATGATGGGAGCCTGACACAGACCCTTTGGTTCAGTGGGTGACTGCTTAGCTGGTGATGGGCCTGAGCTGCCAAGCCCACCCTTTCCTCCCAGCTCCAGGGTAATTCCAAAAACCTGGGTCTGTATCCCTGAGACCTGTCTGTATCCCAGCAGCACTCCACCTGTGAAGGAGAACAGGCTGCTCCACTCTGTCCTCAATTTACCTCCTGTCCCACCTTCACAGGGGACTGTTTCAAACAGGGACAGCAAACTCTTAAATCACTGCCTGCTCAATGTTTTAGGAGCAGGATCACAGCAGGGTGTTCCCAAAAAAGCCCATTCCAGGTATCTTCCAAAACATAATCACTTTGCAAACTGTGTTAAAATCCCAGCTGGCAGAACTCACGTGCTAACTCTATGCTGTTGGTACAGTTCTCTCTTCTGGACACATCATGGAATCGCTGAACACTTGGAAAATAACTCAGGTAAATTTATATTCCTTATTGCCAATTCAATTTTTTAAAACAGGAGTTTCTTTAGGACTTTCTCACCTTCTTCCCATCATCTCCAGTTTATTAAATGATCTTTTCTCCTACTGATCTCTTTGTCTGGTAGATCCAGAGCAGATTCCTGCCTGGCAGAAGGATGGTTGTGACTCGTGGCTTCCCACTGAGGGCACAACCACCGTGTCCTGGGAGTGTGGCAGGAAGAACACGGAGCTATCCCTGGAAAATCAAGCCTCCAGGAAAACACCTACAGAAGGGATTTCTTTGTAGATTTGGGTATGTCCCTGACCTGGGGCAAATCTCTGGTGGTTCACCCACTTGCTGGGGAAAACTTGGTAACTCCAGCTGTCAAGCTCCAAAACTCTCCCTCCTTACTCCAGGGAGCTGACACCTCCTCACCTCTACCCTAAAGCCAGGAGAGCATTCCCTGGGATTTTGCTGATTTAAATATTTAAAAGCTTTTGAAGAGAGGGGAAAAAAAACCCACCAAAAATCTGAGTGTGCAGGCACATGGAGCATTTTAATGAGGTTCCTTCTCAGCTGACCCTTCACATTCGAAAATCAGATTTTTAACCTATCTTAGCTCTCTGCTGCTCTGGGTATTTCACTGGACACATGAATGTTCCTAAAAGACATTCCTATATTTTCAAAGGGTCCCAAAAGGAAGAGGGACATTTTTTTTTTCCTGACTGTGAAGAGAGTCTGCATCAGAAAAAGTTTTTATTTTTTCATGGAATTCAATAATGTCCTTTTGACCTCGAGCATTTCTAAAGGGATCCCACTTCAGCCACTCTGAACTGGCTGTGACTGGAATAAAACACACACCTCCAGGAATTTATAAAGGGTAAAAGTGGAAAAGCAATGATAAAGAGGGATCAGGAGATAATCTGGAATCAAGGCAGCAAGATCCTTTTTATTGAGACTCGTTTTGGGAGTGGGTTGGGCTGAAACAGGAGAACTGCAAGCAGATTCACGGGCACTTTTCTTTGGAGATTACTGAGAATGGTTATCTATCTATCACAGATTTCTGCTGGCTTCCTGAATTTCCACTTCCACTCTTGAATAAAACTGGGAATAAAAACACAAAGACACCATTCTGGGAAGGATCAGCAGTGGACACATGAACACAAACTCCCAGAGCATCACTGAGACCTAAAGAGGCTGTATGACCTAGTAGATACCCAAAACCAAATGCCAACAGGGTGGTTCTACTGCCACCCCTCTGAGTGGCTCTTTTAAAAAATATTTTAAAAATATTTTTATATAAAAATAGAAAATTTTACATAAAACCACAACATTTTTGTATCCTTAGTTCAAAAAGTGATGCTGGAAGACTGGAGGGGCTTCAGAGACAACTTGAAGTGATCAAAACAATTTAAACACAGCCCAGAGTGCAGAGGTCAAGCAACTTCCCAAGAATAAAAATTTAGAGGACGACGTGATCATAAGCCTAGACCTTGGTGGGACACAGAAATTAAAAACACCAGTTGGATACTTCAGTTATAATAAAACTCTGTGACTGAACCTACAGAAATTAAAATAAATTAAAGAAAAAAAAAGGGAAAAAAGACCTAATTTTTGTCAGGAAATTACACAAAGGTAATTGAGTGGCTTTCCTTGTGGAGCTGCTTTGCTGACAGACACTTTCCAACCAGAATGAATTTGAGGGGTTCCATGATCCTTATTACACTCTCTCAGACTGATCACAGGGATCTTTTCCAGCCTGTAAACTCTGAATACCTGCACAGCTTTAGTTCACCATAGTTCATCTGTACTCCACGAGGAGCTCGGGAGAACAAGGCCTTTTCCAACCACAGCCTGGCCCAGTTCTCGCCAAGATAAAAAGCAAACACAAAGGTGAAATAAGGAAAAAAACCCAAAAGAGAGTGGCTGCTGTAGAAGAAAAGCCTGATTTGCATCTTGAAGGGCCCGATCTCCTCTGTGTGGGTACTCCTGGGTCATGCCCCAATGTGCTTCAGACATTGCAAACCACCTCTGTTCCTTCCCCTTCCCTTTCTTCTCTTCCTTCGGCTCCCACAAAAAACCCCAACCCCAGAGCCCAGAAAGAAACAAAAAGGAAAAAGGCAGTTTTCCAAATGGAAAGGGAAGGTCCAGCACTGCAGCAGCAAAGCCCTTGCCTGGACATCACAGAGGAGTGTTGGTACATAGGAAGAACTGAAGCTGGAAGCTCCTGCACAAGGTGGCCCAAGTGTCTTGCAAGCTCTCATGGTGAAAATGTCTAAATCAGGGGATGATTTAGCTCAAGGCAATGCACTGAACTGGTAAAGTGGTAAATCCCCAAGTTACAGAGGGTAAGGCCAGGCAGCAACTGCTTCCAGAGGTTCCCCTACTCCTGTTATGCTGAACCACTTCCTAACAGACCCACAGGCTTCCAAACAGGCCCCAGGGATAGAGGAGGAGCAAGGAATGAGACACTCACTTAAACAGTTCGTTCCTCATGATGGCCCTGTTGGTCTGCGGGTCGATGGCGTAGACCATGAGGTCGGACTTGGTGTAATCCTCTTCGGAGAACCCGTCCCCAAACCTCCGGGCCCCGATGGACTCCACCACCACCGTCGCCCCGGGAATCTGGTCCTGGATGTAGCGTTCCAAAATCCTGCGGAGGAGACGGAGCCAGAGAGCTGCAGTGATTGGTTTGTGCTGCCCAAGGGCCAAAGGAGACACCAACAGCCAAAGCCCACGGGCCGAGGAGGACGGGGGGGACCTTCAGAGCACTTTTCTGAAAAGAATCTCTGCTCAGTAGAACCTCTTAAATGCTGAACTCCTGGGAAAAGCTCAGCAGTGCTTGGAGAGGTCATCAGAAGTAGTGTCCTTAAGTCGAGCTCTCTGTATTTACGACCTCAGCTGAGTTTTAAATGGCTCATGGGAAACACCACCTATATTTCACACAAAGCCTCCCTGCCATCCTTTTATTAAGGTGTACTATTTCAGCACTTCCATTCCACCCCTACACAATAAATTTTCCCCCACAGAAACAACCACTCCAATGACTTTCAACTGGATATTTCAGCTGTCCCTCCAACATTTCAGGTGCTGCAACACCTGCAAGTTTTACAGGCAGAAGAAAATTGGAATATCGGGCTGACATGGGAAAAATGGAATAAAATAAACTGCAGCAGGAGTTCTACAAGCAGAGGGAAAAAAAGGCCAACAGAACTCAGCAGCAGCTCTGCCCAAAATAACAATAACAACACCCAGACATGCTAATGGTCTGGTGAGGTTTCCAAGCTGGGGCCAAGAAGGGTTCCCTCGAAGCCCTCAAAGACAGCTTAATAAACAAAGGCATAAAAGCAAATATCATCAACACAGGACACATGGGCAAAAAGGTATGGAGACACAAACCAGAGAATTTGGAAGTTTAAATGCTCCATCTAAACTCCTGGGAGTTATAAATAAATACAGAATTTCCTAGACTAATTTATGTGATCGGAGTACCAAATCCAAAAGCAGCTGCTGAGCTGGGAGGCAAAAGCAAGGGAAGCAGGGGGAACGTGCTGACTGATCGAGGCATCAGGATCAAGGATGCATCAGGGTGTGGAGGAAGACAGAGCTCTCAAAAGAGGACACCAGTGACTTTAGGAAGTCACTTGTTTTACACAAAACCACCTGCAGTTGCTGAGGTTACATTTTGCTGCTGGTTTTTTTTCCTGACACGAGATTTCCAAAGCAACGCTGTCAAGGCAGCATCACCAGCTCCTAATTTTTCATCTCTCCTCTCTTTTTGGAAACTTAGCCTGCCTTTAAAACAGCAGCTTTTCTAAAAGATTTTGAAAAATCCAAGTCTGTCAGAGCCAGGTCTCAGCCTAGCAGTGAATATATACTGTTAGTGCAGAGAAAATAGAGATACAGATTGGCTGCCACGCTGCTGGTTGACTGGTGTCCTCTAAACAAGCACTCCTGTTGTTTGAAGATAGGGTAAACTCTACTTATCTCTGCTTCTGGAACGCTCTTCACTGGCAGCCAAGGTGATAACCTGTCACAGACACCTCGGGAACAATAATTCTCCCAGGTAAAACTTGATAGGACAAAGCTGGGATATGCAGATTATTGTAAAAAAAAAAGCCCCAGCAAACATTGTGTGAATGGAAATGGCTGAAAGAACCTGAAGTCCTTAGAAGGGTGTTTTGCAAAAGGATTTAGAAAGGCCAAGTAGGTAAAGGATTTACCTCCCTAATTACCATACAAACATCTTCTCTTTCAGCAGGCAGGGGATGTTTTTCACAGAATCCCAGAATCATCCAGGTTGGAAAAGCCCTCCCAGCCCATGGAGTCCCCCCTGTGATCAACCCCCACCTTGTCCCCCAGCCCAGAGCACTGAGTGCCACGGCCAGGCCTTCCTGGGACACCTCCAGGGATGGGCACTCCAAACCTCCCTGGGCAGCCCCTGCCAAGGCCTGACCACCCTTTCCAGCAACAAATTCCTCCTCCTGGCCAACCTGAGCCTCCCCTGGCACAGCTGGAGGCCGTTCCCTCTTTTCATGTTGTGTTTCCTTGCCCAGAACTGTTGTTACAGCCCAGACAGAAACATTCCAAAAGGTTGGAAGGTTATAACATGGGGTCACTTGGAGCAGAATTGGTAACAACATTCCCTTTCCTCAGAAACTCCTGACATTCTGCTGGAATCCATTGCCTTTGAGAATCTCTTTGTCTAAAACATGATTAAAATTGAAGAACAAACAGCACACTCTGGACAAGGAATGGAGGGACAGGACAAGGGGGAACAGCTTCCCACTGCCAGAGGGCAGGGTTAGATGGGATACTGGAAAGGAATTGTTCCCTGGGAGGGTGAGGAGGCCCTGGCCCAGGTTGCCCAGAGAAGCTGTGGCTGCCCCTGGATCCCTGGAAGTGTCCAAGGCCAGGTTGGAGCAATCTGGGCTAGTGGAAGGTGTCCCTGCCCATGGCAGGGGGTGGGACTGGCTGAGCTTTAAGGTCCCTTCCAACCCAAACCATTCTGGGATTTTGGGATACCACTTTCTGCCTATGGGAAATAGGCACATTGCAGGCCTTGGCTTTAACTGACATTGCAAGAAACACCACCAAGTGCAGGAGAATGACAGGAATATTCGATCTGAAACACACAAATTGCATGTTTAGGTTAAAATAGGTAATAAAAATGCACCGAAGACTGAAAAGTAGCAATTAAAGAATTCACTTAAAAATAGAGCAGTTCCCTGTAGAGTTATTTGAAAAGTCATTCAGCTGAACTTGTGATGCTGAAAAATTCTTTAGGGTTTGAAAACTCTGCTGAAAGAGGCCACTTGCTTGTAGTACTCCTCAAAAGAACCAAGTTTTGAGGTGCCTACTCATAAGTAACAACAGCATTGGCAGTTCTGCTGTACTGATCAGCAGAAGTTAAATTAAAAGTAGTCTATCACCTGTTAATGGTAATTATCATCCTCCCAACAGTGGTGTAGTGAGAGGTGGAACTAGCAAATGAACAGGGAACAAGCCCTTCCTGCTGCTCCAAGTCCCTTTTAGCTCCACAGACAAAATGTGACGAGCAAAACACCTCCCTGTGCATCTCCATTCCCATCACTCTCCCAGTTCCCAGCAGTGATACCTGGGAAATGAAGTGAAGGGTACATAGATTTGCACTGTCACTGAGGACATCACGTGCCCCAAAGTACCCTGAAAACTCTGAGACAGTTTTTTTCATCTTTGGATGCCGAAGAAATGGAATTGCAAGATAATCCAGGTATTTATTACAGGTATTACAGGTATTTTAGTTGGCTGAGCTGTCCCTTGGTTGGTGGCATTCTGCTTCATAAAGAATCCCAGAATGGTTTGGGTTGGAAGGAACCCTAAAGATCATCCTGTTCCACCCCCTGCCATGGGCAGGGACACCTTCCATTAGCCAAGGTTGCTCCAACCTGGCCTTGGACACTTCCAGGGATCCAGGGGCAGCCACAGCTTCTCTGGGCAACCTGTGCCAGTGCTTCAGCACCCTCAGAGGGAAGGATTTCTTCCCAACATCCCATCTAAGTTGTTTAGTAATTTGACAGCCTCTTGTGTTTTTGGAGCACATAAAATAGCTTAAGAAATTCAAAAAAACCAACCCCGAAACGTTCTTCCTTTCAGGACTCAGAAAACTGATACCACAGACTTGGAGTCAGCAGTGTTGAAGATTCGAGATCCTGCATCGTTTTTGGCTGAAATTCCACCTCCCAAACATAACTTAGTTAAATAGTATATGATAAATTCATGTTCCAAGTATTTGGAAATGCAAATTTGGCAACAATGCACAGATGAGAGCTCTGCCTGTCCACAGCAGTGCAGACTTTTCAAGTGGTTTCATTAACTCTTCAATTTTACTCTACTTCAGCCAAATTCTGGCTGCGTGATTTTTGCAAGGTTAATAACTGACAAGTAACCAGCTGGATTTTCAGCTGGACTTTCCCAAACAGACAAGGACCAGTTCCAGCCCCTCCTGTGCAGTTAGTGACAGATTTGGGGGGGATGCACTTGAGCTCCCAAATGCCTTATTGCAGCACACAAAGAGCACAGGGCAGGCTCTACACTTTCTGTGGCCCCTGGGGTTTACTTCCAGCCCAAGACCAGCCCTTCTTTATAAAACAGCCTTTCACAAAGATTATTTCTAGTTTTCTAGAACACACGAGGCCTGTGTCTGGCAGGAAGGAGCAGCACTGAGCCAATTTCCTCTGCATAAAATAACACCCACAATATTTAGAAAACAACCCAGAGTCAATGTCTTTATACCCACTTATCCTAATCCTATAAAAGCACAGGATCATGAATTGTTAAGGTTGAAAAAGAGCTTTAAGATTCAAGTCCAACCATCAACCCAGCACCACCACGAACGTATTGCATTGCACACTGCAAAGGAAATTTGCTTTCTAACATACTGCTAAAATTCCTTTCTTTCTCGTTGTGCCCATCCTGCACATCCCTGCCCTCCAAAAACCCCAAAAACCTGACTCAATAAAGGTGGCCTCCTGTTATTATCATCCTGATTCCAGCAGACAGAGGCTGAGGGCTGGAATGGGCTCTGTTAACACTGTACCAGGCTCCAGGACACACATTGTCCCCGAAAAGCCAAACACAGGCTGGATATGAAACAGGATGCAGCCACTTGGTGGCAAATGTCCCTCTAATGTATTTATTTTATGTAATTAAATCTATTTAATCTAATTAAATCATTTCTTTGATTATCTAATCTACTTCTTTCCTAATTTGGCAATTTAATTTACAATGAAACAATACAGTGCAAGGAAGTGACAGAGGAAAAAGGAAGGGGAGGTGGAACCAAGGGCCAGGAGCAAAATGACCCCAAAAATGTTCCTGTCAGAGAGTGCTGAGGCAAAGAGCAAAGCGGCTCTAGCAGTACCTGGGACTCAAGAGTGTCTCCTAAAGGGGAGGAAACCAAGTGCTGGCTGTGGCCAATGCTGAAGGACAAGTTCACTGCCACCAGCCCAACAGAGAAAAGGTCCAGCCACCTGTAATCAGCCTTAATTCAGTAACTACAGGGCAAAAATCCTAAAGAATAGTACTTCTCCTATGGGAAAACTGAGGAGTCTGAGTGATTTATGCACCTCAACTGCATCCAGCAGCTGAGACAAGCTAATTTTCTACTACTTCATGGACTGTGGAGAAGAAAAAAACCACAACTGCGGGGAAACCATCCCCGTTCAGAACCATTTCCCTGAAAAAGCACCGTGTGTTCCAGCTCCTAGACATAAAATTTATTATCTCATATGCTGTGATTAGACATAAAATTATATGTGATGCACAATGTACATGTGATGTATATTAGGCCCTATAATTTATAGCAATATTTATTGCTGTAATATATAATATAATATCTCTTTTAAGTGCAACCATAGTTTCTCTGCATCAAAGCAGAGCTCCTATGAGGGATGATGGCAGTCAACTTTATATATGTAAACCATTAAGTCAGCAGCTTCAATGTTCATATTCCAAAACACTCCCTCAGTAACATCTCCAAAGATCAGCGCTTGATTTTACATTTGGATTTTCAGGGAAAAACCTTCCTGGTCACTTCTACACCATGTTAAAGGGTTCAGCCTGGATTTTCTTTAACTATGGAAATGCACTGTTCTTTTACAAGCATGGAACTGTATGAGAAAAGCACGAGGAAGTGAAGGAAAAGCCCCCAGGAGGCTGCACAGGGAGGTGTATCCTGGTATCCTGGGGGCACCAGGAAGAGCGTTGGCACCAGGGCAGGGAGGGGATCCCGCCCCTCTGGCCAGCCCTGGGCAGGCACATCTGCAGGGCTGGGCCCAGCTCGGGCTCCTCAGCACAGCAGGGCCAGGGAGCTCCTGGAGCGGGGCCAGCGCAGGCTGCGGAGATGCCCAAGGGATGGAGCAGCTCTGGGAGCAGCAAAGGCTGAGGGAGCTGGGGCTGTTCAGCCTCCAGAGCAGAGCCTGAGAGGGGCCCTCAGCCATGTCTGGAGGGGCTGCAGGGAGGGGGCAGAGGATGGAGCAGGCTCTGCTCGGGGGGGCCCAGCAATGGCCCAGGAGGAACGGGCAGGAACTGATGGCCAGGAAGTTCCAGCTGGACAGGAGGAAGAACTTGTTGGCTGGGCAGTGCCCCAGCCCTGAAGAGAGAGCAGAGAGGGGGTGGAGTGTCCTCCCTGGGGCTATTCCAGAGCTGTCTGGACACACTCCTGTGCCCTGTGCTCTGGGCTGGCCCTGCTGGAGCAGGGAGGTGGAACCAGATCCCCACTGTGGTCCCTTCCAGCCTGACCTGTTCTGTGACTGTACTTCATCAAAACACTCATTGTAAGCCACTCCATTATTCCATTTCAGAGGAATGATGCAACATCTCTAGACAACAGTACAGAGGAATTTACTCCACAAATACTTCTATTACCTACAGGAGGAACCCCAGGTCTCTCTGGACAATGTGGAATATCTGACTTTAGGTAGAGCTTTAAGTTGCCATCACATGAAAAGTAAAGAACTAAATGCTCTGAGAACAACACTGGCTATTTAATTCCAACTGAATTTCAGGAGTGGGACTTGATGATGCCTGTGGGTCCCTTCCAAAGGAGGATATGCTAGGATCCTATGAGATGCTGATCCTTGCCCATCCAGCAAACACTCCCAAAAACTTCCACATTTACAGAACACTCTGTCATCTGCCTCCACCAAGTTTTCTGAAGGAGAGGAACACACAACGAATTTTCCACTAAGCCTCAGCCTAATTTCTCTGCCACCTTCTGTAGCAGCCAGAAATGGATTTACCTGCACAGCCACAATGACAGCGGGTGAGGAAATGGCAAATGTGACACTGATGTTCAGTCCAGAGGATGTGAAAGGAAGATGTGCCCATTGCATCCCTCAAAAAGCTTCAACTCCTGAGCCAAATGGACAGCGAGGTTTTAAATCTTCTCTTCTTTGCTGTGCTTTCTTTATGTGGACCATTAACCCCCACACAGCCCTGGGCTGTGCTGAGTAAGCCTTTCCAGTGTGGAAAACACTGAATTATGTATCTCTTGATACCTCATAACCCCTGGTAAAAAACCTCCCCAGGCAGTTGGGGAGATCCTGCTATAATTTGTTCTACGAAGTGGTTTAAACCACTATTTATTTTATGGTGAAAAATCACTGTAATATCAAAAATGACCCAACTACCCTCTCTTCCCTAACATTCCCCATCACCAAGTGCTGCAACTGGTGAATAAATGTTATATTTTCAGGGATTAATATTTACAAAATGAGAGGAGAAAGAGCTGAGTAACCTCTGTAGTGACTCATTCAGTTCACAGATCACAGAATGGTTTGGGTTTGGAAGGGATCTTAAAGACCACTTAGTTCCAACTCCCCTGCCACAGACAGGGACACCTTCCACTAGACCAGGTTAATGATACAGTCTTTTCATCTGTTAATGAATTACACATTCCAATTTTATAAATTAGTGCACTATTTGAAGTGGCCAAAGTACTTCAGTCTGAGAAGCTCTCCAAATAACTTGGTTTCCCTTTGCCCGTGGTTGTATCTTCTGTCCTTGAAAACTTGTTCTTAGAAGAGAAATTCTTTAGTTGCACTTGCTTGCTCATGGTGTTTGTGAAAGTAAAGACTCCCCAAGCTGATTCTGAGAACTCAAAACCTGGCCATGATTTTTTTTTTTAGACTTTGTGCTCACTCAGAAACTCAGTTCCCTGTGAAATACGGAATCATGGAATCATTTAGGTTGGAAATGACCTCCTCACAGAGTCCAACTGTCACCCCAGAACCACGTTCACCACTAAACCATGTCCCCAAGTGCCACATCCACATGTTTTTTTGAGCAGTTCCAGGGATGGAACTGCCCTGGGCAGCCCCTTCCAATGCTTAACCACCCTTTCTGTGAAGAAATGGTTCCTCCAATCCAACCTAAACCTTCCCTGGCACAGCTTGAGGCCGTTTCCTCTCATCCTGTCCCTTGTTACCTGAGAGAAGGTATATAATAACTCCTTTTAGGAAGTTATTCCTAGTTCTAGGAAATGGGATACATGTGAATGAAGCCTATTGCCTGAACAACTTCATTAGTGCTTCTGGTGTTAGAAAAGGGGAACACGTCCTAAATCTCCAGGAGCAAATCCACCAGTCATTTTTCCTACTTTTGGGAAGCTGTAAGCCATTCACTGCTTTTCCAATGAGAGACTGCATCATCAATCCCAAGGTATTTCAAATTCCATGGAGAATTAAAGGTACCACAACAGTCAGGACGGACCAGACCCGTGGAAATCTGAGAAGTGCCTCTCATTGCTGATTAAATGGACAGAAGAGTACAAAGATCATTTATAAACTATTTCCTACAGTATTTTCTATCCCACATTTTCTAATCCATGGTTTTAAGATCCCAAGCACACAAAATTGTCTTTGTCTCCCAAAAAGAAGCCAGAACTGCAAGCCTGGTTCCTGGAAGCTGATGATGCTGTGGTGCCTGAGTGCAATTACTGGATCAAAGGGATTTTAACTGGTTTCAAATACTTCAGCACTCCCTGCTGGATCTAATCCCAAACCCAGTGAACTGTCTGATATTTGTACAGGAAACAAATTAATTACCCTATGAGTTGATCTTTGTTTTGCTCCACGAGGGTGGGAGGAACGTTGGAGACGATGACCTGCATATCCAACTGATTGACCACAGAGACCTGGAAAGAAAAGAGGGAAATTCAGTTGGCACTGCCACGCACAGCGTCCTCCCCACACACCAAGAATGGAATCACCACTTCCCTGCCTCCACAGCCACGCACACATTCCTCCTTTTAATTCCAAATGGAGGAGCTGGGAAATCTCTCTTTGCTTGGCAGCCAAAAGCCATAAACATCAGGTGAAGATTTAACCAGAAGCTCTGCGTCAGAATTAGAGATTCTTAAGGTGGGGACTGCAAAACCCGTTCTTCATAGTTTAGATTTCCCTCACAGAATCACAGATCTCCCAGGGGCCATATCCAAAATTACTTATGAGCATTCTGACGACAGGAAAATCCTGCCCTGGAGACATGCAATGTGCACCAAGGTAAATGGAAATACAAGATTAATTCAACTAAATCAATGATATTTTGGTAGAAAACCATGAAGGAAATTGTTTGCTTACTTTGAAGTTACCAGTGTAAGTTTCTATTTTAATCTCCAATGGCTTTAGCCTCTCCCTCTCTACATCATAAAACTGTTCATAACTGTGTATATTTTACAGTTGAGCTCCTTCCTTAAAAAAAAAAAAAGGAAAAATGCCTCTAACCCACTCAATACTTGTGTGCTTTGTTGAAATAAAATTAAATTCCAGTTTTCCACCAAAGCACAGACTGAGGTCAGAACAAATCTCTGGAATTGGCATTTTCTACTACAAACCCAACGTCACTCCTGAGTTTCCCCACGTCAGGCTGGACAGTCAGTGTGCAAAAGGGACACCACACAGCTCCTGAGCCATGTCCCCCTCAATCCTGGGAAGGATTCTGGAGGAAAATTTGGAAAGTAGGCCAATGTGAAACCTGATAAATTTAAAAATCAGGAATTAAGTTGATTCCAAAAGAAATAAACAACGCCTGATTTTCAAAAGAGGAGCCCGAGCCCTGTAATCACTGCGGCAGAAAAGCCACAATACCCCTCCACATCAAACACTGATTCACCAGCTTTGAAGCTTAATTCAACTTTAAATATTTAAATGTTCTTGAAATGTCATCAGATGCCCCGATCTGGCTTCTGTGTAAGAAGAACAGAATTATAATGAACTCCAAATAAAATTTAGACTAAAGTCATGCAACGGAACTCTAACAGAATGATCAATTTAATAGAATTAATGACATGAGCCAATTCAAGCAACCACTGTGCTCCATATGCTGAGTGCTGCATAAAGGCAACACTGCAGACAAAGGCAATAGTTCTTTTCACATTCCAGGAATCACAATTATCACCACTTGTTCCTACACAAAAACATGGATAAACACATTCATGACAAGCTACAGGAAACCAAGGGTGTTGGACAAAAATCAAGCAAAATTGGAGGTTTCTAGAGGAGACTTGCTTATTATCCACATTTGTAAAGGCAGGGAAAGCATAAAATTGTTGATAAGCACTAGCCCATAAGCGATATCCCTTTGATCCCAAGATTCATTCATTAGGTAGTTCCCAAGTTGTAAATCAAGGCAGAGCCTACAAAGAGTCTAGATCATTATATGGCACCGAGGGATTCCTGGGAGTAGCTGATGCTGAGAGCTGAATGAGGAAGGGGCCTTGCAACTCCCCAAACCCCATTTGATTAAAGATGATATCCATGATAACCTATAAAGATAACTATGACATCATATCTTATGATAGTGAATATTCACTATCTACACTTAGTACCTTTAAGTGCTTCCTTGCAGCAAACTCATTTTAAAACGTAATTTCTTATTTCTTCCTGTTCTCTCACAGAGGCTTTAAGAGGGAAATGCCATCAGATGGAACCAAACTGTCTCCCCTCAGGTGCCTGACTCGAGCCATCAAGCCAGTTCCAGCCATCAGGAGCAGCCCGGTGTCCATCACATGGACTGTCTCCACCAGCATGAAGACCTTTAACCAGTGGACGTGGCAGGTCAGGGTGCTCACAGAGCTGTGCCAGGCTCTGAGGAAGCTCCTGGTTTAAGTTCTGGAGGATACCTTGCTCAGGTTCTTCCTCTGGTCATGTCCTGCCTCTTCCCCCTAGACCTCCTCCCAGTGCAGTCCTGTCTCCTTCCCCCACATCTTATTCACTTGCACAAGAGTAACTAAATCCATTTCCCATTTCTATGTGCACTTCTTGAGCTGGGATTGAAAGAAAGAACACCTGCCAGGCTGAGCACCTGAGCCACAGTTTCAGCAGGACAAATCCTGTTCAAATCTTGAGAAAGGATCTTCACATATGGATCTCACTTGGGGCATAAAATCAGAGCATCACAGAATGGTTTGGGTTGGAAGAGACCTGAAAGATCATCCAGTCCCACCCCCTGCCATGGGCAGGGACACCTTCCACTGTCCCAGGTTGCTCCAAGCCCCGTCCAACCTGGCCTTGGACACTTCCAGGGATCCAGGGGCAGGCACAGCTTCTCTGGGCAACCTGTGCCAGGGCCTCCCCACCCTCCCAGGGAACAATTCCTTCCCAATATCCCATGAAACCCTACTCTCTGGCAGTGGGAACCCATTCCCCCTTGTCCTGGCACTCCAGGCCCTTATAAATAGTCTCTCTCCATCTTTCCTGCAGGTCCCTTCAGGCCACAATCAGGTCACCCCAGAGCTTCTCCTCTCCAGGCTGAACAATCCCAACTCTCCCAGCCTTTCCTCCCAGCAGAGCTGCTCCAGCCCTCTGATCCTCTTGGGGCCTCCTCTGGAGTGGCCCCAGCAGCTCCACGTCCCAACTTTCAGTGGGATGGTGTTGATCTCTAATTGTATCTCCAGCCACTCTCAGCTTCCATGCCTTGCTCAAAGACAGTGGGTGCACTGCCCATCACTCACCCAGACAACCTAAAGAGACCTCTATAAATTAGAGACATCCTTCACTTTCTAATTTAAATGTCGATACCTTCTGGCTATATTTTAATATACCATTACTGCCCAAATTGCCTGAGGGTGCCCTATCATTTGGGGAGGTCAAGCATGAGGACGTCATACATTATGTTTATTTGGTGAATCCCTGCATAACTCAATGCCCCAAGTGTTATGGTTCTCATCTGTATCATTTGACAGTGTTCCCACGAAGTGGATAATGCACTTCATCCCTGCCACATTATGCTAATATTAAGCCAATCCATCATGTTATATGGGCTTTAAAGAAATTTAGCTCTGATGGTTCCTGTGACTGGACTAAGTCAATGGCCTTTACACAGCAAAAACCCGCGAGCTCGAGGCCTCAGGTTGGTGCCAGCTCTGAAACGGTGCTTTCCTGGAAACTCAGAAGTATGTTTTCAGCCCAAAACTATTCCTTGAGGCTCCCTTTAGACATGAGCAAGTAAGACATGGCCAACTAAGATGTGGCCAACTAGGACATGGCCAGCGGGGACATGGAGAATGGTTTGGGTGGGAAGGGACATTAAATACCATCCTGTTCTACCCCTGCCATGGGCAGGGACACCTCCCACTAGCCCAGGTTGCTCCAAGCCCCCTCCAACCTGGCCTTGGACACTTCCAGGGATCCAGGGGCAGCCACAGTTTCTCTGGGCAACCTGTGCCAGGGCCTCCCCACCCTCACAGGGAAGGATTTCTTCCCAATATCCCATCTAACCCTGCCCTCTGGCAGTGGGAAGCCATTCTCTCTTGTCCTGCCACTCCAGGTCCTTATAAATAGTCCCTCTCCATCTTTCCATCTTTCTTGCAGGCTCCCTCCAGGCCCTGGAAGGCCACAATCAGGTCACCCCAAATCTTCTCCTCTCCAGGCTGAACAATCCCAACTCTCCCAGCCTTTCCTCCCAGCAGAGCTGCTCCAGCCCCCTGACCAACCTGGTGTCTCCTCTGGACTCGCTCCAACATGTCCTAACATCTTTTGCTTTAAAAAGGCAAAAGCTTTATTTCAGTGACTTAAAAAATTAAGCACACACAGTTCATGGCTTTTCTATAGGTCTGCCTGGAATTAAACTTTACGTGGTGGTTAAATTTCCTCAGGAATTATTCCCTAACGATGCCTGGCTCATACTTACAAGCACTTCTGCTTTGCTGCTCAGTCCTTTTCCATAATTGTCAGTGGCAATGACCTGGAACTTGAAATAGGATCTCCTCATGTTTTTGAAGAGCATTGCAGTTTTGATCAGCCCTGTGTAAGCTTCAATCACAAAACCTTCTTTGCCATCCTTGATGGGGGGAATGATGAGTCTGTACTGCATGGCACTGTAATTCCCAGTGTCTTTATCATCAGCCTGATGGGGAAAAGAAAACAAGCAGAAGCAAACAAGGTAAATATGCAGGCAAGGAATCATTAACCTTGTCCTTTAAATAAAGTTATATATTGGTCCAGCAAATTTCTTCCACTCTGACATTTAAAACATTAGATCCCAGAGTGCAGATATTGCTGGTGCTTTAAATGGTTCATTTAACTTTGCTGCTCACAGTTTTGCTTTTCCAGCAATTTCTTTCTCCTCTGTTGGCATTAAACTGCTCCAAAAGAAAGAAAAAAAATTAAAAAAAAAAGAAGAAAAATATAAATTGAGTGTTCAAGTCTGCAACAATATGTAAGAACAGTTCAATTCTGAGAAACCTCCACTGCCAAATTCTTGTTGAAAATTCAATATCAAAGAAAAAAACATCCCAGCAACTTATTCACAAAGTTATACAATGAGAATGTTCTCCCTCTTCGTAGAGATATTCTGCACAGGTAGTTTTGGACCAAATAAATAAATTTTTTTATTGAAAAAAGAAAGGAATGAGTGGCATTCCTGCCCTGGTGCACAAGGACCTGCTGTGCAGACCCAGAGCTGCCCTGGCACTGTCCTGTTGCTGATTTAGGATGCAGACTTGGCATCCAGCAGGCAGCCCTGGGAGCTGTTATTCCACCTTCCTCGTGCCTGCCAACCCTGGGTAGCCCCATCCTGGCCTCTCCAGCCCCATTCCTTATGCTCCTGTTCAGCAGCCAGGAGCTGTGTTCAGAGGGGAGTGTTTCTGAGGACCCTTCCAAGGCTTTCCCGTGCTCCATGTGGGAAGGGTCAGTGAGATGGAACTTAATCACTGCCTGTACATCGTGCACTCACAGGCTTGGGCATCACCTCAGCACGTGGGACACCTTGGCAGCTATCACCAGCTTTTATCAAAGCCTTGGTACGGCTTCTAAACCTGTGGCTTAAGCTAATGCTGGAGAAAAAACAGCCCTGACTTCAAAAAGGGGCAGGTCTTGGTGTAAAATCCATGTAAAATCCGTGTGAAATCCCTACTTTACCTGATTTAAGAACAAAACACAATCACAATCTAGTCAGGGTTTGTGGCAGCGTTAAGAGTTCATACAGTCACAGAATATCCTGAGCTGGAAGGGACCCACAAGGATCATCCAAGTCCAACTCCTGGCCCTGCACAGACACCCCAACAATCCCACCTTGTCCCTCAGAGCGTTGTCCAAACCCTCCTGGAGCTCTGGCAGCCTTGGGGCTGTGCCCACTGCCCTGGGGAGCCTGGTCAGTGCCAACCACCCTCTGGGGGAAGAACCTTTCCCTGAGATCCAACCTGACCCTGCCCTGGCACAGCTCCAGCCGTTCCCTGGGTGCTGTCCCTGGTCCCAGAGAGCAGAGACTGGAGCTGTTTGCCCTGATACGCCACTGCTGCTAAAAGGGCTTCATCTGTGCAAGGTCATTAAGCTGTCAGTAGGTGGCCATTAATCATCATTAATTGTTTCCTCACCAGCAGAGAACAACATCTTTACGGTGGAAATTTTTACTGACTCCTGTTCTGTCTTCATTTTCGGATAATTTCCAGGGAATACCAGCGAGGAGACGCACCGGATCCAGGTACTCAAAGCTGGATGTGCTCTCCATGCTACTCCAACTCCTATCAGCCCAGATGGAACAGACAGAACTATGCAGCACTCAAATGATAATATCCAGCCTGGTTTAGCTGGAGACAGCAAATACTTTTCAAACAGCACATCACAGAGCTGCAGAGCTGCCCAAAAATGAGCTCCCACAATGACACCGGCTGTCACTCATCACTGAGACAGGACTGCTTGAAATGGTCCTCACATCCTCTGGGAATATTTTGTTTGCCTCTAAATTGATAAAGCTTTATCCAGCTCGGCTACCAAAAGCATAAATATGAAATGTGTTAAATTGCTTTTGTTCTCTAGCTCCGGAGCTTGCTTTTAAAATCAAGATTACTGCCTCTTGGGTGATCTCAACCCCCTTTATTAGTGTTTTTAGGGAAGAAGGGGGAGGTTAAAAGCTTTCTGAAATGTACCCCATTCTGTCAGTCAAAAAAGTAAAGATATCAGTGAGCTTTTCCAGAGCACTCCTGCTTTCCAACTGGCACAGGGAAATACAGCCCCAAAACATCCTGGAGCCAGCAGGCAGGAGCTTGACAGGTGGATATCAGGAGCAGGCAAATTTTTGGCTTTCCTTTGACAATTAAATTCTGAAGGAAGAACTGAATGTGAAAGCATGCTGTGCTATAGAATCATGGAATTGGAAAAGACCTCTAAGACCATCCAGTCCACCCTGTGCCCGATCCCCACCTTGTCACCCCCCCCCAGAGCACTGAGTGCCACATCCAGTCATTTCCTGAACACTTCCAGGATGGTGTCCGGTTCCCTGGGCAGCCCCTTCCAATGTTTAACCCCTCTTTCAGTGAAGAAATTTTCTCAAACATCCAACCCGAACACAAAGAAGTGGCTGGACCTAAACATCAGATTGATATTTGGATGGGGAAAAAGCAAGACAAAAATTAAACCAGCACCTCAGCTGTGCCTGGCCATGGGGCCACTGGAAGGGGCCCCTGGAAGGGGCTGTGCCCAGCCTGGGGCAGCCCCAGCCTCTCCTCCCAGGGATCCCTAAAAATCATGAATATATGATAACAATCAAACCTTTCACTTCAAGTACCTGTTCTTAACCAAACACCACGGAAATCTTCAAATTACAACTAAAAGAGTGCACAGGATGGCTATTACTACATTATTACTACTAAAGTTACTCTTACTAAAGAAACATTTCAAACCAGCCTGATAATAGAAATAAAGCATCCTTGCAAATATGCAGACTGTTGGTTACAGAACCATTCAAAGCAGCTTCTCTGGATGTTTTTTCGGATCCATTTTGTCAAAGTGTTGTAAGAGAGCTTTAGATCCTCCACAAACTCGGAGCTGAGGTCAGGGAGCCTCTGCCTGTGGTAGCAGGGGATACTGGAATATGTAAAAGGAACACTTTGTATTGATGCAGAACAGGGAAATTTTTAAAATCATCACTTCCTTGCCTCATACCGACCCAATCTTTGTGTGTGGGTCCAAGGCCAGGCAGGTGCCTGGAGAGGGACTGTTTCCAAGGGCCTGGAGTGGCAGGATGAGAGAGAATGGCTTCCCACTGACACTGTGCAGGGAGGGGATACTGGGAAGGAATTGTTCCCTGGGAGGGTGGGGAGGCCCTGGCCCAGGTTGCCCAGAGAAGCTGTGGCTGCCCCTGGATCCCTGGAAGTGTCCAAGGCCAGGTTGGACGGGGCTTGGAGCAACTTGGGCTAGTGGAAGGTGTCCCTGCCCATGGCAGGAGGATGGAATGAGATGATCCTTAAGGTCCCTTCCAACCCAGACCATTCTGAGGTAAGTTCAGCTTGTAGAACATAACTCAGGTTAAAGCCAGGAACAATCCAGAAAAGACCTGTCTGGACAAACCCACTGGCTTACCCACAAGTCCACTTGGCATGTTGGTAATGGAGCTGGGGGGGGGAAAGACAAAGGTAATTCCTGTAAGCCCACACAGAATATGTTTGAGCACGAGGCACAGAGCAGCAGGTGGAGCAGCAATATGTGATCCAGTTCCCTGAGGTTCATCACTGTAGCGAGACAAGTTTCACAGTGACTGCCCAGCTAAGTGCCAAAGGCTCTCTGGAGGTGCCCCGTGGGATGGGCATTACACCCTTTCAATAAAAAGCCAATTTCTGTGGTAAAATGGATTTGTTAGGTTGGTTCAGCTGGGTCAGAAGCCTGTCATATTTGTAATATTAGCAAATTCTCTCTCGACAGAAAGATACGGCTTTAAATAGCAGCTTGTTTCAATAACACCAGAAATCAATGTCACCTTCAGCATTTCACCCGTGTCAGGGGGGGGACTAAGGATAAAGAACATTTGGATCCAAATGAAGGTATCCATTCCCCAGGCACAGACATTACCTGGAGTCAGCCTTTCTGAACAAACACCAGCACTCTGGAGTCATTGCTCAGAAGCAACGACATCTTAGTTTTGCAGCTGAGTTTAACGCATCAAACTCCAGTAAAAGAGGCATTTTAGAAGCTGCAGCTTCTAAAACCCTGCAGCTCAGGTGCCCAAAGCTTGCAGACAGGCTATGAGTTAATTTTGCAGAAGTTCTGAGAACTCAGTGTCACTCCAGAGCAATCAAACAGCCTCAGCATCTCTGCAGCTCAGGCCATTTCCCTCCCAGAAGCCATCTACACAGAGACGAGCAAAACAGGTGCAGAGCAGCCCGGAAAAAGGATCAGATTCCAGTTTCAAATGTTTTAATTTCGTTGTTTCCATTCCCCCGCCCCATCACTCAGACCTAACAACGCCTGGCACGAGGCTCAGCTCGGCAGGACCACCAGGGAGAGCTTGTGAGCCGCCGACAGGAACGTACCAAACTTCTTTAACACACGGTAAGGATGTTTGCTGTTCTTGTAATTTGTCCTGAAGGTAAATATTTTTGACACTTCATTAGGAAGAGATCTACAACATCTCAAGAGTTGCATTAGGACTGTCAAAGAAGAGAAAGAGCTACACTTAATCTTAATAGTACAGCAGCAAATCTGCCTTTTGTCATGTGCAAGAAATACAGATGTCTCCGAAACTCTGCTGTGATTGAGGGCTGATAAATATGGATGATGTTAGGAATTAGCAGGCCAAATTCCACACACTCCTGTGACTGAGTGCAAGTGTGCCCACAATGAGGGAGTTTGGCTGGCATCACCTCCAGCTCCTACTCATCAGTGAGGGAATGGGTTCAAACTGAAAGAGGGGAAATTTAGGTTGGATGTATGGAAGAAACTCTTCCCTGTGAGGGTGGGGAGGCCCTGGCACAGGCTGGCCAGAAAAGCTGTGGCTGCCCATCCCTGGAAGTGTTCAAGGCCAGGTTGGAGCAACCTGGGCTAGTGGAAGGTGTCCCTGCCCATGGCAGAGGTTAAACAAGATGATCTTTCAGATCCCTTCCAACCCAAAACCATTCCAGGATTCTATGGTTT